TTATAAAAAGGTACCAGAGGCTTATAGACAGGACTTCCGCAATTGCCGTAAAGATGGTAAACAAACCTTTGTTGAATTTATCCGCCAAAAGCAACTTTTGTGTAAAAAATGGGTCGAGAGTGAACTTGATGCACTCGAGTACGATAAATTACTTGAATTGTTTATACTCGAGGATATAAAGAAGTGTATGCCTGTAAAAGTTCGCTCTCACATTGACGAGCGTGGTCTGCGCACATTAGCCGAGGTCGGTAGTGCCGCCGATCATTTCGCTCTAACTAATCCGAACTACTCTTGCAGATCTAATGAGCCTTCATTCCAGTCAAGCCAGCATAGTGGTAAGAGGATGGAGTATAGTGCCAGGACTGAACTGCCAGATACCCACAGGACTGTAAATATAAAGTCGTCAGAAACAGGTGGGGGGAGTAGGAATGTTGCTTCACGCGGTGAGAACTTTTCTTTTTGCCGTTATTGCAAGAAACACGGTCATGTCATGAATGACTGTTTTAAATTGGCAAATAAGCGTTCTGACAATAAACGTATTTTTCACGTCAATGCTAATAAGAGGAAAGAGGTTGCATCTATCTATCATGGTAATAAACCTGATCTTGACCTTTCCCCTTTTTCCATAGCTGAATCTGTAAATGTGACGCCTTCATTTAGACCATTTTGTTCTACAGGATTTCTTAGTGCCGATGAATCGTGCACGTCTTCTTCCCCGGTCACTATACTACGGGACTCGGCTGCAAATATATCATTGGTGCTCAAAGAGGCTGTTCCTAACCCTGACTGTTACACTGGAGAGATGGTAATTATTAATGGACTGATAGGGTCCAAGAACATTCCCATTTGTGAAGTTTACATTAAATCTGACTTGATATCTGGATATGTAAGATTAGGTGTTGTTGATAAGATACCAAGTGATGGCATTTCCCTTCTTATGGGTAATGATCTAGTTGGTAATAAGATGTGGCCTTGCCCTGTAGTTTTACCTAGTCCCACTAAGGAAAACAATACAGTAGATTTAGAGAGGGAGTACCCTGACCTCTTCCCCGCGTGTGCTGTCACACGCAGTGCCAGTCGTAGGGCCTCCCATCCTATCAAAGCGGTTACTCCTGGTAATACATTAACAGAGGAGAGCCCAAGTGAGGTAATTACAGAGGAATTCACACTAGCAGACTTCTTTAATTCATCAGCTAAAGTTTTAAGTCAGCCTGCATCTGACCATCCTGATATAGTGAATTTCAAAGCCACTCCAATTACTAAAGAGAAGCTAATTGAAGAACAACACAATGATCCTGATTTAAAAACATTTTATGATAGGCTTACTGACCTAAGTGATTTAGAAACTTCTCATGTGTGCTACTATCTCCAGTCGGGCGTTCTTATGCGTAAATATAAGCCATATAATATATCTGCAGACGATACAAGAAAGACTGTACATCAGATTGTAATTCCTAAGTCCCTTCATACTGACGTTTTGAATATTGCACATGACATTAGTGGTCATTTGGGAGTCAAGAAGACTTATTACAAGATTTTAGCTCATTTTTATTGGCCAAAAATGAAGAGAGATGTTAGTCGTTATTGTCAGTCGTGCCATATCTGCCAAGTAAAAGGTAAGCCAGGAGCTGGCATCAAACCATATCCCTTGCAACCTATCCCAGTGTTAAGAGAGCCTTTCAGTAAAGTAGTTATTGACTGTGTAGGTCCCCTTCCCAAGACTAAACGGGGTAACAAGTTTTTGTTAATTATAATTGATGTGGCCACCAGATATCCTGAAGCTTTTCCCCTCAGACGCATTACTACTAAGAATGTTGTGAAGGCCTTAATAAAGTTTTTCACCCAGGTGGGTCTGCCTGCCGTAGTACAGTCAGATCAAGGATCGAATTTCACGTCCAAACTGTATGAAAACGTTATGAAGTCCTTGGGTATACAGCAGTGCAGGTCTAGTGTATATCATCCTCAGAGTCAAGGGGTTGTTGAAAGGTTTCACTATACTCTAAAGACAATGATAAAAGCCTTCTGTTTGGAGACTGGTTCTGAGTGGGATGAAGGAATAGATTTGCTTCTATTTTCAGTTAGGGACAGTGTTCAAGAGAGTCTCGGATATTCACCATTTCAGTTAATTTACGGCCATGAAGTGCGTGGACCACTAAAAGTCCTAAAGGAGTGTTGGTTAAATGAAGAGGAAGAGATTCCTATAGCTGCATATGTTAACAAATTTAAGAGTAGATTACAAACAGCTATTTCAATAGCCCATAATCATTTGGGTAAAGCTCAGACGAAAATGAAAGAACATTTTGATAAAGTAAACAATTCTGAAGTAAGAACCTTTAAAGAGGGGGACTTAGTTTTAGCCTTGCTACCTCTTCCTAACCAGCCTCTTCAGTCTCGATATGCAGGGCCATTTCGTATTTTAAAACGAACCAGTGATACGAATTATGTAATTGAAACACCTAAGAGGCGTAAGAAACAACGTCATGTACACGTGAACCTCCTG